ATTCGATAAAAATTGCTAAACATTCGGAAAAAGTCAGATGCATTTTGAGGGGCTTTTTGTTTCATTTCAATTTTCTGACCAGCGCCTTTTTTACTCTGATGCCACACACTTTTTTCTCCTATTCGACTTTTTAGTAATATTAATGATCACTAAAACAGTATGAATGATACAGCTTTGCATTGGCTTTAGGTATAGAAGAAGCAGATTTCCCAAGTATTACTATCCTTCCTTCTGATCTTGACTTCCTTAACATGCACCAAATGACAGACAAAATCAAATTTGTTTAAAATCAAGGAGGGTGCAAGAGAGTGTCTTACAACTTGCAGGTGCAATAAATTTGACCTGCTGATTTCATGCATGTTGGACAGAGCAGCAAGTCAGAAATTCTCTCTGTATTATATTCGCAAATTATAAATAATTTTGAACGATTTTGGCATTTATAATGAACGTTTACCCGCTTCGTTCATATCATACAACAGACAGGGTGGTTTTTGTAGTGGTATTGGCAGTGGCAATGGTAGTGGAAGTAGTAGTAGTAGTAGTAGTAATAGTAGTAGTAGTAGTAGTAGTAGTAGTAGTAGTAGTAGTAGTAGTAGTAGTAGTTGTTCATTTCTTTTGGACATAACTATGATGACACAAATGCATACACAATGGCATTCAAAAGTTCTTTTTTCTGTGATCCTCACGAGTTTATATGCTCTTCACGCTTATGTTTGAAAATTAAAACAATTTAAAAAATGCTAAACTAATTTCGTATGTTCAAATTCTAAAAAATATGTCATCATAGTTATGTCCGAAAAATTTGAATTGATGTTATGTAACGCCAGTTACACAGCTTAGCATGCCATCTGAAGGTCTGTCAATACATGTTTTTGTAGGAGGATATATACATGAAGAGCAAAATTCAGGTAAAAATGAAATATTAAAAACTGTATCATCGACCCACTGTGCTACATTTCAGGTACCCATTCGTTTCATTGCGGTATGTTTCATTCCTTTCTTTGATCATGTATTCCTCCCTTTCAGCGAAGTCCCAGTGGTGAGATGAGAGAGAACTCTGCCCAGGTGTAAGCGACACCGAAAACCCCAACGACTTTGACCTTTGCCCTAACAGGGACCACTCCTCAAGAGTAACCGACATTTGCTGTAACCAGGACCTAAACAACATTTGGTACAACTGATGTAACGCTTAAACTGTTAGAGTTTGCATTTTTTTAGACTTACTAAGATTAAGCGATGTTGGACCCTAAACCCTATCTACATGTTTTTATTCGTGACTTGCAAACTTACACAACTACCAACTACGCCCACCAGTTATGACATCAACTGCACTGGCGTCTAAGTGCAGAAGAACTTTGACCTTTCACTTTTGACTCCATTCAATGACCGACCAATACCCTAAACAGTTGGCTTCCAGCTGCGTTATTGATTTCAACAAATTGGGCATGAATAGATGTGACACGAATAACACCTTTGACCTTCATCAGGAATCATTGCTTGTAGTACAGGACCCTTTCTGTGCTGACTTCCTGCAATGATGACCTTCGCACTTTGAACCCTACACCTTTGACTTAAGCAGAAAAGACCCCTTGATCGTCACGGAAATTCGACAATCCAATCCTTCTTCTATGTTTCTCAATGCACGAACGACAAATAATAATTCCCTTAACAACTACCTTACTGGAATGTATACATTTAAAAATAATAATTTGTGTGACTTTCATTTAGATTGAATATTTTTAAGACTTCTATTTTCTACTCTTCTGAGACAAAACTTACAAAAGAAAAGACACCCCCCCCCCAATCAAATCCCATTCCCTCGCCCTCTTCTTCTCCCCGTTCAACAAAAAGAATGCTGTGTGTGGCATGTAATAAAGAATCAATTTAGTGATCAAAATTATTTAAATATATATTTTTATGTGTGTGTGGGAGGGGAGATGCGAAGTCGTCCAGTTAGCGGTTAGATTTTGAAATACTTAATCTAATGTATATGGTGTCATCATATGTCCTTGAGGTTCCGAGTTGGGATATTGAAAATCAACATTTTCAAAACCCCGGCCTAAACAGATTTGCTTTATTTTCAGCTGTCAAAAAAAACTTCGAAAAGGATTTCCGATCAGACTCAGATTGGCGCTTCTGTTCCACTAGTTTTGTGAGTTCTGAACTTTAGGTTTTGTACTGCGAATATGTTCGTCAAAAAAAAAAAACGATGACTGTGGTGGTAAGTTCAGATCCGAGACCCCTAAAAAAAAGTTCAATTTACGGAGTCAATCTTTCCCCTGCCATACTGCATCTGAGTGAGCCAAAGTTGGTACTAACAATCAGGTTCGAAGTAACCCGCCTACTAAATGATCTAAATCGTGTCAATGGGTGCACACAACATTTACTGATTTTGGGTATGAGTAAATCTGCACGAATAAAAAGGACATGCGGCAGGAGGGAAAGAACTGGGTATGCATTTAGACAGACATATCTAGATAGAGAGAAAGAGGACAGAGAA